CACACACACACACACACACACACACACACACACACACACACACACACCATAAGAGACTAGCTGGAGAGAAAGAGGTGGAGTAGGGAAACCAGAAACATTATTGTGAAATTGGAGTCTGCAGAAACACAGGTATTTATATAAAACAAGGGATAGATGATGAGAGTGAGCCAACGGCAGTGTAAGAACTAAAACCAGGCGGTAACGTGCCTTGGAAACGTGTGATTTGGGGTAGATAGCTGCAACACGTGACAGGCAAGTCAAGAAGGATGAGGGGCCTTAAACAAAGGCCTGGGAAAGTGTCTGCACATCAGGGAAGGCCGTCCGCCATCACCGTGGAAGATGGCTTTTAACCAAGATGACTGTTGGAAGCAGGGGCAGATCTGGGTTGACGGTAACTCAACTTCCAAACATGAAAGTCTGAAGCAGAGTCGACAGAAAACATGTGAGGCAATGAGGAGACAGAAGCTGGGCAGACCTCAGAACTTGCCTTTTCCTCATAGCATCATATTTTTAGAACTACACACAGGTAAATTTTTTTCCTTACCCACAAGTTTCCCCAGTGAAATAGCTTAGGGGAACCTTGAACTAAAAAGAAAAAAAGAAAGAGCCTGTCCTTCTGCTAGTCCTGGCTTGTGAGGCCGACTATATATGGTCATCTTTTCTCCGTGTATCTACTGTGCCATCTCTTGGCCAGCAAGCAGCTGCAGCAGCAGCTCCGTGTAGCACAATGGATGCGATAAAAGAGACACTCTCACATTAAGCACCTGAGTGGCACACAATACATCTAAATATAGAAGCCAGTTTTCACTGTACAGAAACGCTTACTTCCATGAGCATTTAAGAAACAGTCACTGCATAATCTCCAGGTAGCAAAACAAGGTCCTAGTGGGTCAATTAGTAACATGTACAGATACCAAATTTTTTTGGATTTATTTATTTTAGTATGTTTTGTGTGTGTGTTGCCTGCCTATGTGTCTGTGTACCATGTACGTGCCTGGTGCCTGAAGGGGCCAGAGAACCCCTGTGACTGGAGGTCCAGATGATTGTGACCTGCCATGTGAGTGCCTAGAATCAAACCTGGATCCTCTGGAAAGGCAAAAAGCTCTCTTAACTGCTAAGCCAACTCTAAAGTCCCCCAAAAACATTTTACATGGATACTGATCTCTATTAATAAGAATAAATCCATTTGGGCTCATAAGCCAGGAATAGCAGAAGGATAGGCCCTTGCTTTTTTTTTTTTTTTTCTTTTTTTCTTTTTTTTTTAAGTTAAGAAATTATTACCAAGCATCATGTGGCGAACACACAGGTAGACTGAGCCATCTTGAGATGCTGATAGCGCATTTCGGACTTTTGATCTGCATGGTTTTAAATAGTATGAAGGAATCACATGCCTGCTTTGAACAGGCTGGTGCCTGGCTTCCCATTTTTAGCTGATGTAAGGGGAGACAGACACTGAAATGAGGGCACGGGCTGAGGCAAGGGTGTCCCTGTGCTTCTTACCACGGCGTGGGTCTTCACGTAGCACGGCTTGCACACGGGCTTGTCACCGACCATCACATAGATCTCTCCTGCCAGGATGTTGTCACAGTCAAAGCAGCAGAAGTGTTTCAGGTGCCAATTCTGGTTTTCTGCTTGGGTATATTCATTACTGAATATCAGCTGGCAAGAGAAAAAAAAATCCATTAGGCATTTCTCCTTTATTGCACAGTGGCAGATCCAGGTTCTTTAGATAAGCAGTTAAATCTACACAAGCAAATAAATCTACAAAATGCCCTCGAAAAAAGATTAACATTTGAAAATGGTACCATTAGGCTTGAGTTTATTCTCAAAATCAGTCTTCAGTTTCTGATAGGTTTTTATTAGTTTACTCACGACACCCAGAACGAAAAATAACCAGGTTGCTTGCATGATGGGAGTTTGGTCAATGCTCATTGTCTCCTAGAGGCGAGACTTGCGAGGCCCAGGGGGGGAGGCTGAAAGAGAGTGTCCCTGAAGAACACACCTCATCACAGCCAGCACAGCGCGGCTTCTCGCTGTCGCAGTAATGTCTGCCACAGTACAGCTTCCCATTCTTCCAGAAGTAGATCATGTCGACCAGGAGTTCACCGCAGGTCATGCAGATGAAACAAGCCGGGTGCCAGAGTTTGTCGTAGCCAGCCCTTTCGGCATAGATGGCTGGGTCTCCTTCCGTCATGGTCCGTTTGCAGCAGTAACAGGACTAAGGGAAAGAAAACAGACCACAGTTGTCCGAGCATTGGCACACGCAGTCCCTGCATGAGGGAACTAAGCAAGCTGTTCCTACAGAAATGACAATACGGAACAGACATTTTGTCAGATGGAATCACTCAGTTTCCATTTATCCCAATCAACTTCTTTTGCCCTGAGTACAACACAGTACTGCTTCCTGGGAAAAGGCTAACAGTAATTTTCACCTTAATTTCATGTCAGCTCTCTCAAAAATGATTGTCTAAGAGCTGTGAGTAAATGTTTTGAGGATTAAATCTTATTAAGAGATGTGTTAATTGTATCTGTGAGAAATGCATTACAGTCAGCTCAGGCCTGGCACTTTATCTGAATCATGATTCTCCTTTACCTTCAAGTCACCTCTTTGACAGAGAGTTTTAAGAACCAATACAGCTGCATAGATTCAAGTCTATGGTCTCACAAGCAAAGCTAGATTACCCTAAGCACATATTATTCCAGTTTATGGTAAAGATAAGTTCTCTGATTGGCTTTGAGGCCTGATCCATAAGAGGGAATTCATACTTGTTTCTATAAACCCAGTGAAAATCCCTGGCTGAGGAAGTTGGGCTCCCGTGGGGAACTTACTGCCTTCTAAATGATTGTGTTTCACTCTCAGCCGTAATCGTGGTGAGTGCAGAGACTCAGGATGCTTAGGGAGATGATGAGAAGTAACAGTTGAGTGTCAGCTCTAAGGAGGGCATGTTAGCACTCAAGGGCTATCTTGGAAGAGTGGGTGGAGAGACTGGAAGATGGGGAGCAAACGATGTCTTCTGGGTGGGACCCCACCATCGCTTCTGCTCACAGCAGCAGAGGCTGTCTGCACTGGGCTGTTCAGCAGTCAATCACGCATTGGGGAGGGCCTCACAGGGTGGATTCCCGGGGAGGGACAGACATTGTCTTTATCTGTGTACTCAATGGTGAGTCCACTAACCTCCAATCTACACTTCCGACCCCTTAACCACATAGTCTAGGTTAAACTCAGTGGATCACAAAACAAAAATACATTATCGTGAGGAAGGGACACAAGGACTTTAACAGGAGTGAGAGGAAGATAAGAGAGGGATGGGAGTAATCAGAATATGTAACACACGTGTGAAACCATCAAGTCACATACTGAATCAACCGAGAATGGAAAACAGCTTCATCAATGCAGGGGTTAATAAACATTCACTAGGAATTGGTAGATGCCTCCTTCCTGTGATCTACATCAGTCACAATAAGGTACAAAGACTCAATGTATTCTTTGCGAAGGTGAGATGAAGATGCTGAGTGGTGCCGTCACTACTCAGGGTTACACTGATGCTGCTGGCCAATGCTGGCCAATGCAATTAGACTAGAGGAACATTAAGAATAGGTAAAGGACAACTCATTAACACTAGGATAACGTTTAGAAACAGATGCTGGGACCAGAGAGCTGGCTCAGTAGTCAAGAGCACCTGGCTTCTCTTCCAGAGGACCTGGGTTTGAGTCCCAGCACCCCATGGTGGCTGACAACTGTCTATTTCTCCAGTCCTAGGTCATCCAAAAACTTCTTCTGGCCTCCACGGGCAGTGCATGCATGTGGTGCACAGACATATATATATTGCAAAAAACATCCATACATATAAAATAATACATAAATCAAATGTTTTAAAAGCTTTTTAAAGAGGCAGCTGCCATGCTGGTCTGTTGTATTCAAGTAAGAAGCATAAAAGCTAATGCCAAGTACCGTGAGCACATAAAACTCAAATTTGTTCGTTTTCCTTTTCTTACCTAATCCTTTTGGAAACAGAGGAATGACCCACACACGCACGCACACTTGCTCTAAGAAAGAAAAAGATCCACCAAACACACAGCAAGTCAACGGCATGACTACTCACGTATTGGGCCTTCCTGGGCTCAGCAGACTTGTCCTTAGGACTGGCCACCTCAGGAGTGTTCCTGTCCCCAGCAGGGCTGTGCGCCTTGTCACCTTGAGCATTCATCTCGGAGGGAAGCTTCACGTCACCCACTCCCAGAGCCTCGTTCTTGTATTTCTTCACAAACTGTTCCATCTCCTTCACCTCTTTGGGAGACAGCTCATGGCACTTAGAAGGGTCCTGGTCGTGTGCAGGGAGCTGCTTGGCCAGCTGCTTCTTGCGGTACTGAGCCCCCTCCGAGCCTGCCACTGGCTGCTTCTCCTTAGGCAGCATCTGCATGTACTGCCTAGCCTGACACACAGGGAGAGCAGTGTTAACTGGGGTTCTTCAATCTTTTATAGCACACCCAGAAACTAGTTTACTTAAGAAGAGAGGTTCATCCTTTTACTATAAACATCTAGAGACATTAACACATGAAAACAGGTTTCAATGTGCATAATGGACACATTTTTTGGTTCTCGATGGAAACACCATCCAGATTTTAAGAACATTGGATTACTCCTGTTTACTTGTGCTACACCAACAGATGCATGGCTACATGAAACATTTTGGGTAGATCGTTCTGAGTGCCGGGTGGATCAGTGGCTCTTTCATCATATACAAACATCATTTGCAAGATTTACCAGAATGCCCTAACTGACCCTCCAATGCTTTATCTAGTTGTCATAATAACTGAAGGAGCTTGATGTGCAAAATCACATTTTTTTGCCTTTTATAGTAAAAGAAATATAATGCTGGAACTTTTTAAATTAAGTTCTAAATAAAGGCAGAAAATCTATTATTTATTCTTTCTCATCTTAAGAAAAAATTTAAAAGTATAGTAGAAAATTGGCTAGATTTATACAAAACACCTAATTGGTTTTTTTTTCTCTGATTTTCATATGATTACTACAATTGTTAGAACATTTTCTAAAAAAAATAAGATATATTAGATAGTCAGACAGATTCTGTGTGGCATGTAGACTAATATTTAAAACAGTAGTAACAGGAATTCAAAGTCAAAATAATGGGAACTCAAGAAAGACAACAGATGTGTGGTGACTGAACACTCCACAAAAGGAACTACCCTAAATAAATCTTTATCCCTTTTTCATCCCTCCCTGGTACTTACCAGTGCCTGATTCTGGACTGGGGGAGCCCACTCATAGGTAACTGTGTTGATGGAGACATTCTTCTTGGCAGCAACTGGATTGGTCAAGATCATAACATTGCGTTTATACATGGGAATTCCATCTGACTTCAGCTTGGCAATCAGGGTGGTGTACTTGGTGTCTTCAAAGAGTCTCCCCACTTTCCGATCCTCCTCATTGCTCAAGAGGACATCATGCTCTTCTTGCCCACATTTGCAGTTACGACATATTTTTCTATAATTTAGGAAAAAGCAAAAAATGACCAATATACCAAATCAGTGATAATTACACATGTGCAGTTCTTCAGGCTCAGAAAAACAACAACAACAACAACAACAAAAACAAAAACAAAAAACCCAAGTTGTTTCTTTCAAAGAGGAGGGATGGGTATTGATAACCTAAGCAAGAAAGACACATGAGAACCCACTCTTGCTCTCTATGCCTTGGAAAAATCCGGCTCTAAGTACATGTTCAAGCAGCCTAGTGTGAGGGCAACCGTGTGGGGTGTGTCCCTCACTCTCTCACGGAAATAAGCAAAACAGCCACCTAGAGCGTTCTAGCAAAAGACTTCATGTTTCACTCATAACCTGTTAGGACTTTGCTGTCTTTCCAACTTGTTTGTTTTTTTTTTTTAAGTGAGTGGGAGACTCATGTGCGTTCCCCCACAAAATGCCATCATCTCACATTTAGGTCCACAGCCTTTTCCACTTTCCTTTCCATTTCCAGCTGCAATTTCCTTTCCTCTCTAATCCTCTCTGTTTCCTTTTCCATTTCATATTTCCTTTCTCCATTCCTTCTTTTTTTTTATTCCCCTTATTTTTTTCAACATTTATCCAGCAAGTATTCCTTTATGTTTCAGAGAAAAATGGCCTGGTATCAGTTTCAGGCCAGCCAGGGCTACATATTGACACCCTGACTCCAAAAATAAAGACAAATGAAATCAATAGTTTCCCATAGTTTTGAATCAAATTTCAGAACACAATCTCTTTCCCATCAATCTCTTTAGCATTAGGCATTCACTCATGCAAGCTATGTGTGTGTCCATGTGTCAAGCAGCACGCTTGAGACCCAAACCCAAAGAAAACCACAGGTCCAGCCTATGATCTTCTAAAATCTACTTCCTGGTGAGAAGATTACGTAAGACACACACTTTAATTACATTTGTGTTAGAATGATAAACAGGATTCCATGACAGGGGAATTTTTACTTCAACCTGGTAAGGCAAAGATTCCAAAAGGAAGAGCTGAAAGGGGCATAAACCATGAGTGTGTGGGTGTGCAAGTTGGTATCTATGGCTGAGGAAAGGCTCCTCCCAATGTTTGACTAGAAAGAGGAGTATTTGTAGTAGCCGTAAATTAGGAAAGAGATATTCACATAGGTCCCATACCAGAGAAAGCAGGAAGGGAGCGTGACAGGCATAGGACACCTCAAAGGCACACTGTGGGGCCAAGGAGCCGTGGGAATGACAGCACATCATACAGAGCTTGACTTTCATTATAACAGCAATTATGAAGCATAGAATCATAGATAATTAGTTACATGAATAGACTTACTGTTTCAAATATCATGTGGAGACTGGATTAGGGATAGAATATACCTGTAGGCTACATGTAAGCATGTAAGACTTTCAGATACATGCACATCATTAAAAAAATGTGCATGGAGTTACTGTGGTGTGTTTCTTAATAACAGCAGCACCATGGCTACTTCATAATGCAGTTCACAAGGTTGGTGGTCTTTGCTGTGGTCCAAGTAAGATATGCTACAGCTGGAACTAGGACATCAGACAGTGGAGACAAGAAGAGAGTTCAGATCTTCTTATAGGCAATGCTAACTAATCTTGTGGTTGATTTAGGATTAGTGACAGACTCTCAAAGAGACAAGGATTTTGTAATGAAAAAGATGATAAAAGGAATTGTTTACCAAGATTAAAATACAAAAGAGAAATAGATTTCAGTTAAGGGACTAGGAAGGTTTAAAGGTTGAACACTTTTAAAACTAAACTACTGTGATATGGGCTAATGATATCAAGTAGACTGCAAGTGTTAACTATACTGGTCAAGCAAAACCCTCACATCTTGAGATTCAGGGAGCAGTACATAATGGGGATGAATTGTGTCAACACCTTTGTCTCCTGTGGACAGTATGGCATGAAAGGCCGAGGACCCAGAAAGGCACCTGGCCAGGACCAACCTGGAAAAGGTGACAGAGGAAGAGGGACAGGGGCAGTGTGGTATCAAACTTTTAAGCTGGAATGGAAATATAGGGCAATGGAGTTGAGCACTTCAAAAAGCATTCTCCAACTTTAGATTGCTCAGGGGTTACTACAGATGCAAATTAGTATTAGGTACTGTTTAAGTTTAAGCGGGTATGTTAAATTACACAGATCACAAAAGAACAAAACAAAAGAACTTTATAGATGCTTATGCCAGAAAGGACAATTACTGGGTTACATATTCTATCTAAGAAATTATTTTTTAAGGGTCAAATAACTCTAAATCACAAGGAATAAAATTAAGTGATGAGGAACTAATGATGTGAATGCCCATTTTTCTTAATAGAAACATCCAATAGCTCTCATGATCACAACTTATTTTTGGATCTCAGGAAAGAGTCAGGAGACTCCAGGAAAGCCTCTCTGGGTAGAAGAAAATAATAATACCCAATCCCAATCCAGCAAACACTTAGCATACATTTAGAGATAGTACATTAATTTTTAAAATTTAAGGCAAGAAACTAACCCTACTATCTCCAATTATTCATATTGTCCCAGAGGTACTATTTAGAGCAGTGAGAAAAATCAATGAAACACAAGTAATAAGGATTTATCAGAAAAGAAAGAATGAAGGGAGGGAGGAAGGAAGGAAGGAAAGATAGAAAGAAAGGAAAGAAAGACAGACAGACAGGTCACATAAGGCACAAAGGATTAGTATGAAGATTTTAACAGGCTTTCTGATTTAAAAACATTTTTTTTTATGCCAGAAGTAGGAATGACAAAGTGCTAAAAGTCAAATGGATATCTTTGCCGAATAACAAATTCTTAAATAATTATATATATTTTTGTGTCTCCAGTTTAAAAAACAAAAAAACAAAAAAAACTTTCTAATACATAAACCGGAAAGGCTAGGTATGACCTAAAAAGAAGAAGAGAACAGAGAGGGAGGAGAAGAAGGAAAGGGAGGGAGGAGAAAGGGAGAGGAGAGGGAGAGGCGGGAGAGAGAGTGGCAGACACTGGGGATGAACAAGCACATGTCTTTTCTTGTACTCATATTGATCAGGAACCTTTATTTGGTAAGAGTCTGTGGAGAATTAATGCATCTTATTATAGCTATAAAAGATCCTTTTTACATCTGCTTATCTCATACTCCATCTAGTGGAAGAATCAGATCACCCTTCCACAGCGTGGTCTTTATTTGCCTGCAGTTACCCAAAGCAATGGAATTATCTATAAAACCATCGCATAGTGGTTAGATCATAATTAAAGCTTTACCTTCTGGAGAGGGAACGAGGTGGGGGAGGAATTCAGTTCTCAAAACAGACCTTTATGAGGCTGTGGGCTATGGGATGCCTTCTACCAATCAACAGAGTGGCTGCTTACAGAAACAGAGCTGACTCTGACTTTGGCTCCAGTGACCCAGGTTTACCGGAGTAAACATGTGTCCCATAAATTAAGGAGTTAGGGTTTTTTTTAATGAGCAATAAAAGACATGGTAAGAGAAATGAAACTCGGGTGGGTAAACGTGAGTTTTGGCAAACTGTAGGAACAGTTATATTTACTGTGAAAGAACTAAGTAGAAGGCACACTGACAAGAATGACACATGGTCCACCCCGCCATTACTTTTATGAGATGGTTTGGTCATCCTTTGGAGAATTCATGTTTTGGATGAAGCTCCTTTCTCCTACCAACCCCTTTTACCCACCCACTATACCTTTATCAGGCAAATGATATCAGGTTAAGCCACATGGCAACAGCTATGGTGAACAAGAAGAGAAATAGGAAGCCTCACATTACCCCACGCTCACTTTTCTAAGTAGGGAAAACCTATTACTGATCAGTGAACAGTGTAAACTGGGACTGTTCCCTAGCTCTTCTGCATTCCCACTCCCAGAGGGGTCATTTGAGGATGACCACTCAGTGAAGTGTGACGAACCAGAGAGGGCAGGATGCACACTTCCTCAGTGGGACGCCACTGCTGCAGCAGCTGAGGCGAGCACGTGCTCCCTTCTACCCCACTGCAGCTCCTTGCCACAGGGAGGAGCCAGCACCAGTCGGGGCAGGTGTCAAGAGCTGAGCCCTGTGGAACTCTGTGCTGTACCAGTTAAAAAAAAAAAGCTCTTAAATCATTTCATGATAATTTTTATAGTTTCTACAGTGTCAGGGACATAGGGGAACTAGCTAACTGGATTCAGAGTCAAGTTAGGCTAAAATCATCCTTTTTTACTTGTAAAAAAAAAAAGAGAAGTAAACTTTGAGGCTCTAAGGTGTGTTGGGGGACTGCTGTTTGGAATAAAAGGTTATTTTTTAAAAATTAGCACCCAACACACACACACACAAACACATACCCTAATATATACACCAAACCCAAACTCTAGACTTAATATTTTATGTGACAATTCAAGAGTTCTTGAGTTGAATCCAAGGAAGAGAAAATGGAATTTCTAAAGCTTTAACAAAGAAAAACACAGACATTTACAGTTTCACACTGGAAGCAGTCAACATTCTCCTGAGAGAGAAATGATTGCTGCTGTATCATGGTTCATAAAAACGATTATTTTTCCATTGCAAGTAGCGAAACCTGGAGAGCTCTGACACCCTGCCAGCTGCCCTGGTGAGTTCTAAGCAAGACTGTGGAACTGCTACAAATCGTAACTTAGAAGGCTGGAAGCTGCCCTTTTGTAACAGGGATATACATATATAGCCAGGAGCGTGGGCCTCTGTTACAGAATTCAGCACAAGGGTTATTCCATTTATGGTCGGGAATACTCAGGTTTTTGCCAGGTTTAAATCCATTAAAAATTCTGCAACATGTGTACTATAATCAAAGTAATTTCGTCACTGTAAAATGCAGCTGTTTTAACAAAGCTAAGACAAAACTATGTTATTTATATGATGAGTGATCTATGGTTGCAATGACCTTACTACATATTCAGTGGCTATAAATGACTTAAAATCTTGGGATTGTGCCAGACATTTCACAAATGCTTATATCTGCATATTGCTGGAAGTGTGTCCCATAGATAGTTCTTGTTGCATAGATGCTTTTTCAAGCTCTAGTTTTCCTCTAGTCTTGGAACCTCTAGCACACTGAAGAAGGGAAGTGCTCACAGATAAAGGATGCCATTGTTCACAAGGATGTCTGTGCCACCAACATCACACTTCAGAGCAGGCTACTGCTGAAGCTCAAAGCTGCCTTGTGAAAGTGGAAATGTGTTCCAGTTTCTGTCACGCATGAAGAAAGATAGTTATGGAGACTTTGCCAAGCTTTGGGTTCAAGTTCAGCTCTGCTTTCACAAGCCATGACATTGGTAAGGAATTTATTTACTTTCCTAGGGCTGCTTCCTCACATAAAATGATGGATGTAAGGAAAGTTAGGAAGAATCAGGAACAACAACAAAAAGCTCTGATAAGCAAAATCTAAGGCTGCCCTTAAGACTTTCACCCAACATTGTTCCCATAAATATGTTTTTTTTGTTGTTGTTTTGTTTTGTTTTCTTTTGTTTTGGTAAATGGCAGAGGAGTGTCCGGGCACACCTACTCTCTAATCACTCAAGCCCTTAAAAAAGGAATGGAAACAGACATCAGAGAGATTGAGGACACAGAAAGGGTTCTAACTACTGTTGATTTAAAGAGGGAAGTGACTGTATGTCAAGGTAGGTGTGTGGCTGCTGAAGACAACGGTAACCTCATCTGAAAGGGAGTGAGGAGACAGGGATCTCGGCTGTCCAATAACAACAAGAATGAGGTTCCACAAACAGCAAGAGTGAGCAATTAAATAGAAAACAAACACTTTAATATTGGCCTTTTGAGATGCCAAGAGGAGAATCTGCTATGCTGCCCCTTCTCCCTCCCCAGCTTGCTTTGTAAGCACGGAGGCTCAGTTCATTAACAGATGGTCTTTTCACCCACTCAGTTTGTAGTAAGTGGTTACACAGAAATGGAAAAACCACATGTGTGGCATAGGGAAATGGTTCATAAATTATATTTATTAAAAACTCGTTAGCACAAACAAGGTAGTTGTAACATTTTCAAGTGTTGCTAATTTGAATGGGGTTTGATGAGCAGAGCTGGAAGTTGCCTTCTACATTTCTATAAGTACAAAGATTTACTTTTAGCTTTCTATAACTTTTGTGACAATTTCTCAACTTCCATCCACCTTTCTGGATCTGTGCACTATCCACAGCTCTCTGCCTGGGCTGGGCCAAGAGGCTGCCTGTATCAAGTGGGCTCCCTTGTCCACAGCAATGAGGCAATGGAAGGCACTCGCCAGAGGCTTAAGGTGAAGCCTGCATGCTCAGTAGGATTCAGGAGAAATGATCTCTAACGTGGAAATGTGTGGAAGTACATGATCACAATAGATCCCATCAGTTCACATGCTGAACTCCTATTGCCTAATGGAAGTAGCGTTAAAGTTAAAGCTTCTAGGAAGTAATTAAGGCTCAATGAGCTCATGAAGAAAGATAGGACTGGAGGCCAGTTATGATGACCCCCTCCCATGTGTGTGTGCATATGAACACGTCCTCCGGCCATGAGAGTGTATAGTGAGAAAGCAACTGCCTGCAACTCAGAAAGTGGCCCCTCAACAGAACTTTACCTCTTTCACAGTGGCTGGGGAAACACATTTGTGTTTAACCCACTAAATCTGTGGTGTTTTATTATAGCAGCTATTGCTGACTGATACAGTGGGCAATAGCAGTGCGTGATCTAAGAATTTCTTTTTCTAGTGCTAGGACGCAGAATCTTTCTAAGCATGGACATATGTGATACTAAATTCAGAGAATCTGGGGGATAACATCAAACAAATAGATGGGAATACATGATGCTTAGAAGGAGAGTGAAAAAGGCTGGATGAATAAGTGGGGGCCAGATGAATGTCATTAAAGAAATAGGTCTGGTGTGCAAAGAGGTTCTAGGGCAATTGAGAAGTACAAAACAGCACCTATCAAACCATTTCAACATACCATTCTATGGCTGTGGGGATGGTATGGACTGAATCCTAAATGTTGAGGTTCACTGTGAAGATGACGACGATGAAGTGGCTGGGGATCCCATGGCTCTAGTTTGCAGGTGACATCTTTGTTTGCACTCAGGACCATTGGTCTCGAATATGTTTCTATGACTATGCCAAAAGGGAGCTAGAAAGATGGCTTGGTGGTTAAGAGTAGTTGCTGCTCTTCCAGAGAGTGAAGATTCATTCAGCTTCTAGAATCTACATGGATGCTAACAATTGTCTGTAACCCCAGTTCCAGAGAACCGTACACCCTCTTCTGACATCTGAGGGCACAAACCATACATGTGGCATACAAACATCCATGCAGGCAAAATATCCATGCACATAAAATTTAAATATGTAAATAATTTAAAATACATTTTTTTTAAATGCAGAACACTAGCTGCACCCAGAGGTCAAAGGCATCTGTCTCTGGTCTTCCGGTTATGGAGGTCGGGGAATGACAAAGAATCCTACTGGAGAAATCTGTCTGGACCCCCTCCAGGAGGATGACAGCATTACTAAGAAATATCATCTGGCAGGAGGCCAACCTCTTGTATTTATTACTCTTGAAACTAAAGACTATGGCCAGTTTATCAAAGCAGCCTGTATGATAAAATTAAAGAGAGAGAGACAGACAGACAGTCAGAGATGGAGAGAGGGAGACAAAAAAAAGAAAGAGAAAGAGAGAGAGAGAGAGAGAAAGAAAGAAAGAAAGAAAGAAAGAAAGAAAGAAAGAAAGAGAAAAGAAAGAAAGGATTTTATGGCATGGAGGTCTGTTCCTACCTGGCCAACATTTCAACAACTTGAAAATATCAGATTATAGCATAGCAAGCTGCAGGAGAAAAATTATACACAACAACAAGTTACTCTAAACTAACCTGGTTTACCCAAAAAGAACTCTGTCTTAGGACTGAGCTTTAAAAATCTTATAAGCAGTTTAGGAAATTGTATAACTGAAAGGATAATTTTAAGCTGAAAAACCACAGGCCAGCAGGGGGCAATGTGTCCTTCTGCAAAGTCACCCGGTAAGCCACAACGTGGTGATGGCCATAAGAGGTGAAATAGTCATCCTCCTGTCTGTGGGTTCGTTAACCCTGGATTCAATAAACAGAGAATATAAAACAAACTAACATTTGCCGTCCTTCCCCAAACAACAGAACATACCAACTACTCACAGAATTTATCACATAGTAGATACAGTAAAAAATCTGCAGAAGAAGAAATGGACAGAAAACAAGCAAACACAGTTTTATGATGAGATTTGAACATCCGTGACTCTGGCCCTTCAGGAGTACAGGTAGGTAACCTCACTCTAATCCCAAGAAATTATTCTGTGCTCAGTGATATGTTTGTATTACCCTACAGGCAATGATAGCTGTTCAAGGCTGGAATTGAGAAATTCCATGGAAAATTCTCAGTTCTTTGAAAATAAACAACAAAATAAGGAATGGAACCATTAATTCTGGACATAGTGATTTACGTTGTCATTGCTCTTTAAGACATTTTTGTCTATTAATTAGAGCTTATTTAACATGCAAACTTTTTAAAAATTTTTTATTATTATCATTTATTACAATTTATTCAATTTATATCCGAGCTGCATCTCCCTCAATCGTCTCCAACATACAAGCTTTTAAAGAAGACAAATATGCCAGATTTTATTATACCTCCCCTTTACTATATACTGTACATAGTCATAATGGCTCTAGATTTTTTCTTTTCAAGACAAGGTTTCTCTGTGTAACAGAGCCTCAGCTGTCCTAGACTCAATTTGTAGATCAGGCTGGCCTTGAACTCACAGAGATCCAACTTCCTCTACTTCTTGGTAATAAGATTAAAGGTGTGTGCCATTCTACGGCAATCTGAGGCAGAAATAGTAGCTAAATGAAGTTCAGTATAAACAGGGGCTACAGTTCAATGGACAAATGTTTGCTTTGCATACATGAGGCTCTGGCCCCAATTATCAGTACTGGGGGAAAAAAAAAGTTTCTTGCCACAGGGCAGCCATTATCTCTGACTCCCAGCAGCCATGTGGAAGAACTTTCATTTTCCATTTTGAGATTTACAGGCTACAAATGAAATCTGTCCAAAGTAACATTTTCAATCCATTAACTTCTGTCTTTAATATACATGAACTTCATTCAAAAACTAGCAAAAAATTATTTTCTTTTTAAAAAAAGTTTCAAGTTCCTCAGTAATTTATTCTTGAGAATTTCTTTTTCCTTCTTTCTTTGTTTCTCTCTCTCTCTCTCTCTCTCTCTCTCTCTTTGTTTGTTTGTTTGTTTGTTTTTCAATACAGGGTTTCTCTGTGTAGTCTGGCTATCCTGGAACTCACAGTGTAGATGAGGCTGGCCTCAGAGATCCAGCACCTGCATCTGCCTCTCAAGTGTGAGGTTAAAGGCATGCACCACCGTGTCCAGTGAGAAGACTTGAAGAACTAAACGTGGTGTCATTTCCTGGTAACTATGAGTGTGCCACTGAACACACACACATACTGATTGGACTGCAAAGCCAGGTGTGTGCCGTGAGGAGTTAATTGTCAATGACAAGTTAATTAAGAGTCCTGGAGGGTTACCACAAACTCCTCTGCCACTCAAAAAGGCATATTCAGTATTAGAGTGGAGGATCACAGGAAATCAGAAAGATAGCAAGTAAGTCAAACAGTTCCACATACAGTTATCACCAAAGCTACTTCATGACATAAACACAGAACAGTTTCACTTTTCATTAACTTCTTAGCAAACAGACGCCTTTCAGCTAAGGAGCTGAGCCCAAGAACTCGTCAGAGTGCAAGCATACTGTCCAAGGGGCACTGCCCAAGAGAAGAAAGACTACTGACACCATGGCTTCAAGAACTCACCTCCAGAAGTGCAGTTCAAACCCTTCACAGTTCTCTTTGCATTTTAGACAGGGGGCTCCAAATCCTTGTTCATGACCTAAGCCCATCTGTTAAGGAGGGGAGAGAGGAATCTATTATTACAAATTTAAAAAATTTTAAAAATTCAATAAATCACACTTTTAATTCCACTTAACACTCTTGTTGATTTAACTCTCAAACAAATCCTTATAGCTTCACATTGTTATGACACCAGGTATGTAAATGGAAGCTGCAAGTACATACACAGCATACTTTATATTCTCGTTGCTTTTATTATGAAGGGAAAAGAAGCCAATACAACTTTATAGAAGACTACAAATACTGAAAGTCACAAAAGTCATGGATTTATGTCTTTGCCCATTATGTGCCCTGAATACCTCAAGTACAGGGAGAGCTCAGAGGGCAGAGACAAAAAAAACAAGCAAATGTATGAGAGAGTTTAGAAATTACAATTAAAATGTTATTTTATATTATGAAAGTATAATTCACGGCATCTACAAATATTTATTGAATACAAGAAACAGTATTCTATTATACTTACTATTTAACTCTTACAAAACCTCACAAAACATTTATGAAGCAGGTGCTATTACTTTCTGTTCTTTAAAAGTTGATTTAATTGAAACCCAAGAAGTTTTCAGAATTTGCTCAGCATCAAAATGTCAACGAATTCTGCAACTTGGAAACCTCCTCCCTATAGTACCTGGGTTGTTATGAAGGCTGCCAAAGGAGAAAAACGATCAAGAGGTTTATCCTGCTGTAAATGTTGATTTTCCAGTGACCAGCCCAGCAGGATGTCCATGATGGTGCAATAGTGGTACTTTGATTTGAGAAGTGTCATAGTTAGGGTTTTAGTGCTGGCACCTCTCATCAAAGAAGCATCTTTTTGCAATACATGGGAACTATTATAAGAATCCACAACTGGTCAAAATGCAGAGGACAACTGATTGAGCCATACCAAAGCCCAAGGACATAGAGCTTAGGGAACTTCATGGGGATGGCACCGTAAGAGCCAGAGGACCAGGTGCCTGCTGCTAGATAGGTAGCACCCTCTAGATATGGCAAGGAAACTGCAGCCATGAACTCTTCAACAATATGGTCACCTAGACAAGACAGGCTACTTCAGACATCCGTGACTCACATGGACACTAAGATACATGTGTTCACATGCTGGAGCAATGAAGTTTTTCTCTGAGCTTCATAGCGATTTACACTGACTTTTCTTTTCTAAATGGACATACTGTCATCTTTTCTGAGTGTTGAGACCGAGTAAAGGCACCAAAAATTGTCACTGACAAAGGAATCAAGTGAATAAGTGGGTAATGAGGTTACACCAGTATATATTGTGCCCTTCTGTGACCCAAAGGAAGAAGCCCCGATTAAAAACAAAACACAAATAAAGATACCTTATTTTCAGAATCTGCAAGCAACCAAAGCCATGAGACAGAATTCTGGGCTGGCAGTGAACTCACTTGCCTATGACAGAAATTATTTTACACATCCACATTTGGGGCTAACATAAACTTCAACCTCACTGACATCCAGCTGAAGAGCTCTATCTCATGCCTCATCATTGGGTAAGAATTTCTATGCTCTAACCCTCTTCTTCAGCCTCAGTTATGATGAACAAGCACAATCCCACTCTGAGAAGAGAGATTCGTGATTCATCCTCCCATTCCTTGCTCAGTAGATATGCCGCTTCCAGACTGAGTTATAATCTGGAATGCAGTTTTAAAACCTGATCCAATAACACCGCCTACAGAGGACATAGCTCACAGTGTGAGGCAGATTTCTTCTACTCTGTCCCTCACTGAGGCTTCTGGTAACATTAGTTTCCTTCCCCAAAGTCAAGCATATCCCAGACGAAGGAAAAGGTACCGATTCCACTTTGTAACGGCAGCACCACTCACCCCGAGCTGTTGAAGGTCCATTCCAAACCTTTTAAGGGACAGTGCCAGAGGACCTGGGGTTCCTCGACTCTTTTGAATTTCAGCTCAAGAGCCTTACTTTTTCTAATAGTTCCAGCAATTTCTCTCTCCAATTTACTCCCTGTACAGGATTCCCTGGAACTGAAGACCCAGAATCCACACCACAGTTCTTCCTAACTCTTTGCCCTCAGCACAGACCACGCCAGTTCACAGTTGTCTTCCTCGCAAAAGAGATGATTCTTATGTTTGGACCACAAGTCTTGTAGGCTAGTTTCTGCCCAGTTGTCTGTACTTGATAACTCTTGGTGAGGAATAATGGGGAAGGCGTTATCTACTGAAACTCAGGATGCATTCAGTATACTTAGTATGCATTCCACTCCATATAGGATGGAGTGGAAGAGTGGAGAGGAAGGCCTAGATGTTAGCTCCCTGTAGCTAAGGCAAACTGGCTGTTTAGACAATAAATCCAGATCCTTGTACTCATGAACACTAAAATTTTTGGGCTTATACACAATAGTTGTAAGAAAATGATGAGAATTGTATAGTTGTCAATATTAGAGAACTGTGAAAATGAAGAGAAGACCATTGAAGAAGGGTCAAGAAAAACTGTGATCTGGTCTCAAAGTGCCACCAGCTATATTCAATAATTTTTGAGATCGTTTTTCTCCTCTGGGTTTCATCTAGATAAGAAAAGAATTGAATCTGATTTCAACTTTTTTTAACTCTAAAATTATGATTGCAAATCATATGTTGGGTAACTTTATCTTCAGTTAGCCACTTGTCAACCTGTCAAAGCTAAATTGCTAAACATAAAATGCTCATTTGGGGAAGGCAGTGTGTTATCAGCTTACACAAGCCACAGTCATTTGGACCTCAGTCTGTAAAGTATATATAGCAACTCCAGTTGTGAGTGACACACCTCAGTTCTGTTACACATCTTTATTTCACAAGCACTCTATATGATCACAATCCCTGCAGAATTAAAACTTGGTACCTTAAAATACCCATAGTTTTCATAAGCACACAAGTTTTGAAGCTGTCTACTCCATGTAATTTTAGCAACACATTCTTGCCAGTGTCAATAGAAGGATATGACAGATTAATTTTTTTCTTCTTTATTGTCCAAGAAAACAGGTCCTCTGGATTGACTATATTCGGAGAAATCATAGCTGGGCTTTGAGAATACCTATCAAGGTCCTCTGAAAGAATAAAAGTTCCTCTACAATAGTTATCTTGAAATACTAGTCACAAACAAGACTTTTTAAATAACCATAACTATAGGCTCCAGAAACTCAGCTTACATTTCCATGACCTGAGTCTCCAAGCCCCTGCTTCCCTCTGTTTATTTTAGAGCTAGAAATGGAAATGGCATCAATTTCTCCAGAATCATAATGTCAAGAAACCAGATACATTGGCAAGATTTCAGGTAACCCTCCTGATCCACAGCAGAGGGACTGTGCGTCACATATAGTTGAAAGAAAAAAGGGGGAAGAGGAAGGGGTCTAATACATCTGGTATTTCAAACATGGTCTGGGTTGATCTGGAGACAATTTGGATCTGGAAGATATTACAGTGTTCAGGGTGAGATCATGTGAGTTGTGCTGCCTTATAACCAAATCTCCCTATGGAGCAAGAGTCGTATGTGGTTATTAAATAAGCATTGTTCCTCAGACTGTTAACCACCTTGGAATGAAGCTTTCTGGAATGAATGATATGAAATATGCTCTGCTCTCTTCTGTCTGTGCACATACTTACTCACTTATTGGATACGCAGATACATATGCATGCACAGTGACACACTGTGTATGGACACATGCATCTACTGTATACATATCTACTGTGGAGTCATGGCCAAAGGAATAGCATTTCCAAACAGTGCTTCTCAGCGGTTGCCTCTTGTAGAAACCAAGTAATTTCTGTAAAGCCCCTTCCCCTTCCAAGCAATAAATCCTAACTCATCTCTGACACAAGGTCTTCTTAAACTGTTGGAATTGTTCAGATCATTGCCTATTTCCCAATCTCTTCCAAGATATAGATGTTTCCAAAGAGCAGAGAAAAGAGTAAGTTAAGTCAAATACTGACCTAAAACAGGAAGAAACACCCATCAACTTTTATATGCCTTGCCAACTTTCTCAAGTGAGAAAACAAAAAAAAACCTAATTATTAGGACCCATGATTAATTATCTCAAATAAAACCTCTAGGTTTGTCTTTTTTTTTTTTCCAGAAGATCAAAACTTTCTTCTTTTACTCATTTCAAAATATATGGAAGACTAATGGGAAGGTTGCGTCTGCTTACCTCAGCAGCTCACGGAGCGACTGAAGCCTTCTGATTTGTGTGGTGGCATGCTTCTTATGTGCCAAGCCCGAATACCCCGGGATGCTAGCACATCTGCATCTGGAGTCTGTGTTCAAACTCTCCTGATGGCACTGTAGTACCACACTCTGGCTGATCACTCCCTCTGTATGTCACTTGGTTCTTTCAAGCATTAATTCACCCTCCTCCAGAGAGAATCTTTAACGAGATAATGAGCTCCTCTTTCCCCCATGGCAGAGAAGTTAAAGCCTGCCACTGCCTCATCTCCTCTCCCCCTTTCTCTTCCTGCAGCTGTGTTCCACGGGAGCTTTGCCCCTTTTCTCCATCTGTCCACATCTCTCTCTACCCAGTCTACAGGCCGAGTCCTAATGTCTACCACTTTGATAAACTTTCTTTATTCCCTAATACACACACACACACACACACACACACACACACACACACACAACCCTGATTCCCACAGGTCTTGGTAGAAATCTCATTATTTAGTGCTTAACTGCACTGTGACTGTTGGCACATCAATTTGCCATTGATTGGGAGCTGCTGACTATAAGCCTGAAATTCCAGCAATGCCAGAAGGATTTACTTATTTAACTGCTTTAATCTAATGGGTTTTGGCATAGTGTCATGCTCCTATAAACTCCCACTATTTTCACAAGAATGGCTCTGGAAGGAATTGTGGTGGTAACAGCAGTGTCCCATACTTCTTGAGCGCTCATACTGCCAGGCACGGTTCGAAGTGTTTCCCATCAATCAACTTTTTTGGTGTCCATACTTCCATAAAAAATGACAAAGTGATTAGTGATAAAGGAGGTATACCATAAA